ACAGAGGTACTCAGCCCACTGTCTGCTTTTCAAAAACGGCACTATCCCCTCCGAATAGTTGGGAGTCACGTCAAAAATAACATTAAACGACCCCAGGGGGTTTTAAGCAGTCTAACCAAGACTGTTGGCATACAGTGGCCAAATTGCCTTGCTGACCCTTAAACACAAACTTCTTCAATTGGTGTTGCCTGGTTCCAACCAGTTCCATGGAACAGCTGTCCACTCGGGGCTGGCGGCAACAAGCCGACACTTGCTGGACAAGACGAACTCCACTGCATGCCTTGGAGTGCATGCTGCCTTAAATAATTTTGCAGGAGCTAAGCAGGATCTGAAACTTTGGAGCAAAAATGATATTTCGGTCATCGCGAACGGTGACGTCCAACTTTGTCACACGAGGTGAACGCAGGGGTGACTTGCGCATGAATTTGTTTATGATTAGACGGACTTATTTTCACCTTCACTCTATCACACTCGCTATGCTCTTATGACAAGACAGAGTTAGGCGAACGAGGTGGACATGGGCGCAGCTGTCGATAGAACTAAACGGCCATCCTATGCGTGCCACCAGTGACCTGGTCTTGACTAATCATGTGCCAGACTGCATTTAGCGAGGGTTCCCGGGTCTCGCATAGGTGGGAAGGTCATAAAGGCCACATTAAGAGGGAGCCATTACAGTCTGAACTCCAGTCCAGAGAAAGACCCGGTTGCCCCCTCAGTCAGATTCATGTGCGGTGATTTGACGTGACGGAGGTTTCCTTAGTATTGAGTACAATGACAGCTAAACAGCCCATCCTCGCGTGGCATACACGACCTTGTTCCTACTATGCATGTGCCAGACTACGCCGAAGGACGTACTTCTGAAGAAAGTTAGATGTGCAAATTCCCACATGTGACGTTTCGTCCATCGGCAAATTAATTGCGTACTTTTTACGCGAGTTGTGTGATGTGCTGTTGAGAGTTGTTGTGTACACGCGTTTGACCGGGTAGGAACATTTGTAGCCCACGTGAGTTTGCTTACGGAAGTAGGTCGAAGTGTTATGAGGTGGTCTGGAAAGGAGATTTTCGTGCACAGGCATATGACCAGACAGATCCATGCTGTGCTTGGATGCCCTGGGACAGTGTGGGCAGGTGGGGCTTGTGTGACGGATGTGTGTCAAGACCCCAGCACTGGCTGGCCGGTCGCCCGTTCTTTTCCTAATCTTGATGTCTGAGATCCCTTCCTGCCACTTCAAATTCAGTATCCTGCGGAGACAGTTGAGGCGGAAATGGTTGAGTTTCTTGTCTTCACTTCTGCATTCTGTCTACTCCACCGCGTCCAGGTGTGTTATCAGGACAAAATCCGTGTTCAGTAGAATGCTGCGACGGCTCCAGACGGGGTTCTGTAGCCGGCTGAAGGCCTTGCTGGCTTTGGAGAACCGATGAGCGACTTCATCGTCGAGATTTGAATTGTCCACTGATGTGGGGCGATTTACATTGACGTTGATGCAAGGTTCTTTGTAATATACATTTGGCGCCGGTTGGTGCATGACTACTGTCCTCTTTGCACTACTGTTCAGTCCGAAGTTTAAGCAGTCGAAGGCAAATGGATCAACGCGCAGTCATCCGCACACAAGGGGTCTTAGATATTGGCCTTGCAAACTCTTTTAGACGCCTGCATGCGCCAGCTGCCAATCAGTTGTTCACAAGTTCAGCAGGTGATGTCGCTTCCCTGTCTATCCTCATGAAGGCATCCATCAGCATGGTTGAGAATAGAAGACTGAAGTTAATGGCGGCTAGTACATAGCCATGCCTCATTCGTGTCTCTGCAAAGGCCCCGATGCCGTCGTGTAGCTGTCGGGCCAAGTTTCAAGTTTCACTCAAGTTTCACTATAATTTTCCAGATCCCATCACTTTTCCATGAGTCCGGTTCACGAATATAGTGTAGAGGCCGGTCCGCACTTTCTGGCATTTTCCTTACGAAGATCGTAATCGTGGTGTTTTTGGAATCTGACAGAGATCCCTGTTGCAGATGCGTGTTCGGGCGGTCGATTAGGACTCTTTCAAATATTTTCCCAGCAGTGTTGAGGACGGACATTCTGTAGTGATGGTTGTTGCAGATGTTACGGTTTATTTAGTGTTCGTGCATATGATTATCATTTGCGCCGTTGAAACCTTTTAAGATTTCCTAGTCACCACATATCCTGAAACGGTGAGGTGGGCTTGTCCGTGAATTTGTCGCTGTACTCGTAAATTCCGACTGTTAATGAGTCGAGTCATAGAGCTTTATTGACACACAGCTATTAGACTGCGTTGACTGTCTCCTTAGGGAAGGTAGACGGTATAATTTGTGACAGTGGGCGCTCACCGATCAGGTAGGTTACGGAACATGCTCGTTCCGTTGTGCCTTGGGGCTCATACTAGAACCCTCGCAGGCAGTCGCACAGCGACTAGTAGTAGACATAGATGAGATGCCATTGGTATCCACTCGAAAGAATCGTCTGATGGCTTCTTCACAGATTTCAGGCGGTAGTACGGAGACCTGGGCAACTGCGGAAATATCATATCCGGAGTTGGTTATTGATGTTATTCTGACTTCAGGAAAGACCGTCATTGTGGCCTTTCTGGGAGATTGTACGACCTGTATTAACGCTAATTCAACCCCCGCCACAATTGGCTTCTCAGAAATCTTCCAACAGAAATGGCGGGTTTCAACTATTCCAGTCTGATCAAGTCCTGTTCGTACTTGTGTACCGTGTCTTAAACGCTGGAGCTGTCGTGGACGCAACACTCCGTAACATTGTTGTCAAGTTAGTACAAAGCTATAGTTACTGGGGACTTCGATGCCCCGTTGACTTCCTGGGCGACTTCATCGATCGTGAGAAGTTCTTGGACTTAAACGTGCTGCTGTTTTTTTGGAAACAGCTCAAATTTAAGCGTTCGGTTTGCTTTTTTTGCCCATTAACTTGTATTTTGTTGCGATTTTTTGAACCTGCTGTGGTTCCTGTACCAGGCAAATGCGACCGTGCTATCATTTCCGTTAGTATTGAGGTCTGCTCTGGTAGGCCTCCACCGCATCGCAAAGCTGTGCCAACACACGAACACTCACGTTCTATGAAGTATTTCTGCCCGATTACACTTTCCAGATGTTTAAGTAGTGTGGACCTTCACCAAGCATAGTCACTATTGCTTCCTACGCGCCCACGAAACTGATTAAATAGCACAGAGGAGTCAACCCATGGATGACCCGGATGATTTACTGGCATGCTACCAAAATAAACAAGCGTTGGCACCGTTATCAAGGGCGAAGTTTTCCCTTACTGTCCCTAAAATCGATCATACTGGTCACGTCCTCATCATAAGAACACTTTACCCGTGCCTACGGATGACTGAACGGTAAGATCTGTAGGATTGCACTAAAAGTTCCATCTTTGGTCAGTAGAGTAGAGCTGTACTGGTTTCACATTCTGGTGCGGTGCTGGCCCTTACTTGCTGTCACTGACTTTCGTCCTCTAGAGGCGCTTCACAAGATCTCGCATTAGTGAGCAAGCATTTTCCTATTCTGCGTCATCTTGACCGATTAGCGCAACATCGACAGGCTTGACCAACCGCTTCTACTGGCGACCACATACTGCCGTGTCTGCTACTGGATAAGCTTGTACCCAAAGTGCTAGCCGCCTTCTTCCCGCAGTAGACTCCTAACAGTGCAAAGTTGGGTAGGAATTACTTATAGGTGTCCCCGGCAGGGCACGACAATAGGAACGTCTCGATTTACAGATGGCTTTGCGCTACATTTGGGGAGAATTTGGTGTTGAGGTTAGGGTCAAATCGGGGTTGAGGTAAGGGTTAATGTTAAGGTTATAGGGTCCCGGTTACTGTTTCAGCTAGGGCTAGTGTTAGGGTTAAGACGCCGGAAAAGGCGCCCTTCCCGAAATTTTGCACTGTGCCACCCGTTCTACGGGGGGGGGCGTTCCTATTCCCTGTCCTGTGCCACAGATCATGTAACCGACTCCAACCAGAAGTTGCTCAGACGTCTGGCCCCTGTTCCTTCTTGGATCAAAATGTACTTTACCTCAACGTCTTTTCGTACACCTGTTGTTGCTATGTCCCCCCGCCCATAGTAGCGTCACATTTCCTCCCGTTTAATATAGAAGAACGTCCTTCCGTCAATGTGACATCCGTCTCGCAGGCGGACCGTTTGCGCTGGCTCGACCTGCCTCTGTTGTCACTTACTCCCTGACCGTCTCGCATTGTTCTTCGGGTTTGCAATCGGCATCGCATTGGTTGGGATTATTTCAAATGCCTCCAGCACGTTTGCACCGACTTTTTGATTCCATGACTTTCAAAAAACACATTGTCGAACTCCGCGACCGTCTGTCGGTTATGTTCTTTCGCTTGCTGCTATTTCCCAAGCAGTGGCCGCACACCCTCCGGTTTCTAATTTAATTATGTTTTCGGTAACATCAGACAGCACGCCCACACTCATTCTCTGTCCACGGCACATTTCTTATCTCACACCGTACTATATGCTCCAACTGTTTGCCACATTACTATTGCTATTATTTTTAACATTTTTCTACCATCGGCACTGCTGCTGTTCATCCCATTTCATCTTTGAAGTTTCCAATCGGCCACTCAAGCAGAGAGGTATTAATTACGACTGTAGAACCTCAAGGCATGTTAGCCTAACCCGCCATCACTATCAAAGTTGTTACTTAAAGGTCATAGTTAAATAGAACCTACGGCAGCTGGGAACGGCTTCGCATCTTAGCACCAGGCGTAACGCCAAGCTCCCGACTGACCCCTAAGGTCTTTTTTCAGCAGACAGACACTACCTACCTCGACTATATCAATTTAAGACGATCTGCTTGTCCTTGTCCGTTCGAAATAACTGTTATTTTTTCTCGCTGCCCCTTAAAGTAGGGATACCGACTCCCGACCCTTGAACTCACTCTTACTAGGCTACAATACTTTTTAAGGATGACATGAAATAATGAAAGTTTGTTTTGCAGGATACACCAGCGATGGGCAGTTCAGAGGTGCAGCTGTTTGAGGATGAATTTCCACTTGTCCGAAGCTGTCCTCAATTGAACGAACTTCGTAGTGCACATGAGTTAACCGACCTCGTCATTCAGGCAAGTCACTTCCTCTCAATACAGAGTTTCAACGCTAACAGTTGAAGGATGACAAGTTTCTGCATGTGCACCGGATTATCTTAGCCTCTAGAGTCCCTTCCTTGCGTGCGACGATGGCGAAGACGGCTTCAGATCTTCATTGGCCAACGGTCTCCATTGAGTATCACTGTTTCCTTTCCTAATGGATCTTTCTGAGGTCTGCATCGTCACTCATAGACTACCTGTACACAGGTCGGATTGAAATCAGTAATGCCAATGCGACCAACATGATTTTGTTGTCGAAACAGTTGTCACTTCCCTGTGTGGAAAATTGGGCTGTTTATTTTTTATCTGTCAGGTAACATGCCATGTTGATCTGTTCAGTGCCGAAGACTTCAGAATGATAACCTTTCGGAATCATGGAATTTCGCGGAAGCCGTGAATTGTGAGGGTCTTCGAGACGCTTGTGTGCACCACATGAAAGCATTTTTCGAGGCAGTTGTTGCTAGTGACCTTCTCCTTGAACTTCCTGCAGACGTGCTACTCTCCGTACTGCGAGACGATGACTTGCAAGTGAGCAGTGAGGAGAAGGTTTTCGAAGCTATCAAAAGATGGGTCCGCCCAGCCGGCACTATTGATGAGGAGAGGATAGTTCATACTCCACAGATGCTGAGGGAAGTTCGATGGAGTCAAACGAAGCACCATTTCAGGAGACGTTTAATGGAGAGTGACGACCTTATCGTCAGCAGCGTAGACTGCATGTATGCGAAAACTCGTTTGTTATTCTTCCTCAACTGTCAGTCAGTGTGTAGGTCTTGCAGATCATTGGATAGGATATTCGATGTTAGGAACGCAGGAGGAATGCCCCTTCAACGCTAGCCCTCGACCGGCAAGTCTTGCGGCGTCTATTATCGTCTTTGGGGAGTCGGCAGCTGAGAACCGGCGTTTGATTTGTCAGTTCGATTTGGAGGCAAACACTTGCGAGGAACTCGGCACCATGGAAGGTCTTTGGGGCGCAAAATTTGTGTCCTTTGGTGGTGAGCCCTTATTTCTATTTATTTGTAGTGCAACTTTTAGCCGAGGCTGTTTGACATGAACTGGATATCGCTTCAAACATTTCGATTCGTGGGATCGTTTGTTCTTCAGTCTTGCGCGCTGCATTAATACTGCTGTTTGGGCGTACCGCTTGGCCTATATTTATTTTTTATTGTTGGAATTTTTGTGACAGGTGGCGTTCTTTTATGCCAACATGCAATTCGGATGGTAGAGACAGCCTCGGAATCCTAACTTGCCCACATTTTCTGCCACATTTAATTAGTTTCTGCTTCGTTCTGCTTAGAAGTTCTGCATGTGATGCTGAGCGATGGGATTTGTTGATTTTATATTTAGGAATTAACGGTGGTATCGAATTTATGTTAATCCCGACATCCACTACTTCCTGGTGCATATTTGCAGTAGACATAAATGATAGTTCTCCCTGGTAGTGAGACGAATTTAATTCTCCTTAAACATCGTTTATTTACTTCGCGACAGAGAGCGTTTTTGTCATTGGAGGCAGTGTTAACGAGGAAGGTTCCAGTTTACGTCGAGTACGTGAATTCTGTACGAGAGAACGGCGGTGGCGGAGGCGATCTGACCTGGAGATTTGTCGCCGCGATCACACCGCAACTGTTGTCGCAGTCAGCGAACACGAGGAGGACGCGTTGGTATTTGTTTGCGGGGGCTGCTCTAGTTTGAACGGTGATGTGAGCATGGAACTCGGTTCATGTGAATTGTTCGATTTGCGCAATGACAGGCAAGTAGCTGTTTTCGCATGTCTTATGTCTGACAAAAAATACCTCAGCTTAGACCGTTACTCGCCGTTTAGTTCCATAAGTACGTCTGAACATGATAGAGTAGTGCGGGTGAGTTTGTGACATCCTTATCACCGTAAACAAGGAGACTGTGAAATGGAATCTTGACGGTTGGGGCTGCTACTTGCCCTTTGGGGCAGGCCGGCAGAGTACAGTCGAAGGGGAAGGGTCAATGCCTAATGGTTAAGAGTCGCAGTACGGGACAGTAACTTGATTGGACAACACATTTTCCCTAACAAAGTTTTCGACTGTTGATAACCTCTTGCCGTTTTCGGATTTTTTCGTCATGCACCTAACGTTGCTGATCTAATGACCTCCATTATTGACCTATTCCGCGCCGTTAAACTGGCCATATTGCCAGAAATGACCCAATAATTAAAAAAAATTATGTAGTGCCCGGGTTCTTCAATGGATCGAAGTTCTATTCTCCGTTGGCATTGCAGACAATATATTCCTCCTCGATGTTGCCAACTGGTTCGCCTTTTCCTGAACTCAACTCTTGTTGTCGTCACTCATTTCCAACAGCCAGCAATAGAAATATATTGTGGCACAAAAGTTTATCAATACCTCTGAATGAAGTAACCTCCGAAATGCTAGTTAAACAAGGATCCACAAGAAAGAAAAGTGTTCATTTCCGTTTGGGCTTTCCTTCTGCTGCAATCTGCGAGTTCGCCCCAGCGTCCGCGTCTCTGTCACCTTCCAGAACGTGCACTAGCTCAAAACAAAACAAAAACGAAAAGACGGCCTTATATCTTCTTAAGACAAACAGGATCCAGTTAGTCCCCCACAGTTGATTTGCGGGATTCCCACAAGTCGAACTTCGTAACTGGAACACTTTGTGACCAATCCCATTTTGGTAGTGAATGATGCTTACTTGATCCACTAGATAATGTCTGTAACCAACGGCGAGCATCATATTGAAGTCTGAATTCCATGCCGCTTTCCTTCCCAGAAAAAGCGTTTTAGCATACAACGTATGGGCTGATCGACCGGGACCACAAACAGACGTCGAAATCTGCCAAGTTTTAATCAAACTGTCTTTCCTCTGCCTACGCGCCAGTTAGTTTGAGGTTCAGAACCTCCCACAACCGACCCTGACACGTGTGAATTTAGAGGCCAGGAGGTGCCTCTGCTTGTTGTTGACTCGGTCTTCGAGTTGTTGGTATAAAGCGTAAGGTTCATAGATGCAGCGCAAGTCGGCTTCATTGTAAGCAACTCCTCACCCATGTCACCACTACGACGTCTTTCCGTCGCTTTCGACGGGCTAACTGTCAACAAGCTACCGACGACCATCACGGACTAGAACCATTGTGTACGGTGTACTGATGAGCTCCGACAAAGGGGAAGCAGCTGTCCGCGTCTGCCGTCCTTGTATCCAATTTGCCTACACTGGAACCGCTATAGATAGGATTCGCGACTAGAATGCTATTTTCGCCAGAGAAGGAACATAAGCTCTCTAGAACAGCTTTGTCTGCGGGTTGGCGTTCTAGACAGCAGGGCGGACCAACTCGAAAAGTTGTTCGATGTACCTGCGACACAGGCTTTTGACGGTGTATAGCCCACCCGGCTGTTTGAAGCATGGGCCAGCCAATAAAGTTGTTCGAACGACATGCTTTTGCGTCCCGGACTGTCTCACTCGTCATAATGTTGTTTACCAGCCTAGTCAACCGTCTTTGGTTCTTCCTAGGTGGCACCAACTTCCCAAAATGCGGGAAAAGAGAGATGCACCTGCAGCCGTCGCGCTTTCTGACGGACGTGTTTTCGTGTTCGGCGGCTGGAACGGCGAACTCTGTCTTGCCTCCGTCGAATTCTGCTGCCTTCAAGCTGACTGGTCCAACACTATTGAGACGGCCAGGACAGAGGATTTCTGGCGGCCCCTTGCGCCGATGAGAGCGCCGCGCTACGCTCATGCAGCGGTGGCCTTCAAGGGAAAGATAATCGTGGCTGGAGGTTTAGCCGTAGACGAGGACGACAGTCACAATGAACAGAGTGTTGTGGAGATATTTTCCCCGCCGGACGCTGAATGCCCACTCGGCGAGTGGACGCGGGTTGTGGATCTGCTCGTACCCCGGTCCTATTTTTCCCTGCTGGTGTACAAAGGCAGACTTTACGCCTTGGGTTAGCATTTCCCTGGCTGCCACCTTACTTTTGTTGACACCTTTCAGTCAATAATATTTTAGTTCTGTTCAAGGAATTAGGTGTGAAACACGTCTTTACCTTCTCAGAAGGCGTTTGGATTGCCACTACTCGTCCTATGTTGATTCTACAATTGGTCTTCTTTTTGGTACAACCTCAAAGTCAGTCTCATTTAAACTAACTGGACTGTTTGCGTAACCACATCGGTGAACATGCTAGTGTTTCCACACCTAACTCTGCGTCTTTATGTTTCCACTAGGAGACGGAAATACGATCGAGAAATTCGCCCCGGAGGATCCGCCGGCTACAGCCGACGACCTGTCCTCCTGGTCTTGGGCCGAACTGGAGCCCCTAAACGATCTGGATTCTATCGACGGAGCGGTGGTTATTTAACGGTTTTCGATCCTTAAATAAAGCTTTTTCAAGGAGGAAAGGTGTTCTCTGGGAAAGGTTTATTTGAAGTCTGGCATTTTGAACAAGTATTCCTTGCTACCTATTCTCAGAGACTGGAGAATCTTGCGCACTGCCGTCATTATATGACGCATTCTTCTTGATGCGTAGACCGCCGGTGCCGACTGTGGGGCTGCATTCGATCCCCTCTTCATCTGGGAATCGCATTCTCACAACTACTGATGAGAATTGGGTATATTTTGCATTAACATTTTGGAAATTCAGGCCAGGACGCTCAATCTATTCGACAAAAACTACTCCTGAGACGGATTGATTTTTTGAACGACTGAACCACCGATATACAACGGCGTTACGTTAGAATCGCGTTCACCGAGCGGCTTACGGGGCATGCTGGACCCCTTGTGACTTTGGACTCAATCCAGAGCCCTCACAGACTGCCAACGGCCAATAAACCAGAAATGGCCACCCCAGTCTGTCTTGTCTCTGTCGGCTCTTCCTCTCTGCATGTAACGGGGTTGTTGCCTAGTTGGTGGTCCAATTACTGTGCGGCCTATCTTCTTAGCTGCCCCCGATACTTTGCCCAAGTTCTTAGATTTCTATTTAGCTGTCACTTGTTCTAACCTGGCCTGATTTACTTCGATTTGAACAATTACACAGTCTGGTTCTTGGTAAGCACACGACTTCGACAGGGTCGGACTGCAAGTTTAAAGATCCAACCAGTTAAGAAGCCAATCATTTGCAGATGCCTGCAGATTGAGAATCGTGACAGGTCAGACGAATGTGCATGCTGGGAAGAGGAAGTGCTTATGACCCATCTGGTAGGCCTCCGTGGTGGGCCAACTGCGCCAGGTGCGTCTGTGGTGCGCGTGTTTGTGTTTCTGGTCCCAGCTGCTGGTGGTCAGGGTTATGATTGGCTGAAGGCAGGATAAGTCCGAAACAGTACTGTATCAGTCTACCCGCATTCTCTGTCGTATCTCCTCGCTGCCACGCTGGGAAGAGTTGGTGTGCTTTTTCAGACGCATAGCAACACTCACTAAAACGTTCACCCCTTAAAGAACGGTGCTGTTTGGAGTATCCTTCAGTATCTTCATGGCTGCCAGAATTAGGAGAATAGTTTTGCAGGATGCCGGCCTTTGGAAAGTACCCCATCAACAAAAACCTAAGGGAGTTATACTACGGACGTTCGAGGAAGTAGGCACTTGTGAATCATGGTTTGGATGTCAGCGTTTTCAGAGTTCGGGAACTTGTGTTCTGTTTCGCGTCTGAGTGGCCAACAGCCACAGTACAGCGGTTGGGGGATTTAAGTGGTTTTGAGTGGACGTCCGGATTTCTGGCTTTAAATGCTTTCAGAGTTTACTCAAAAGCCCGCATGCTGCTTGCCCCGACCCCCTTTCGTCTACTCTTTTCTCTGAAATTTTGAGGGAGTCTCCTTGAGAGCGACTTCTCACAGGTTGGTTGGTGGACGTGATTTTATGTGCACAGGGTCTCTTTGTTGAAATCTTCAAAGGCGGGAACGATGATGGCACGACCCTCGTAAACCGCACTAATCGTATGCCACAAGGTTGGTTTATTTCGACCGCCTAGTTTCGCACGGGGTCTGATTACGGAGCGCCTTTCCATCTGCGCTATCATTGGTAGAAATGCGGTGTGTCTGTAGGATAGAGACGAGGGATGGCGGTAGATGGACACTGAGATCGGCACCCACTCTATCGGAGTTATTTTTCAGAGTTGGTCCCGTCCTCCGAGGGTGGGACACTATGTCCTGCTCTAGGGTGGACTTGGTGGTTGTTCTTGAAACGGATAGGGTTCCGGACGTACCTTGAGCGCCACGATCTTCAGATCATGTCCCGATTGGCAGGATAAGAGGGGAAACACCAGAAGGTGGGGTGCCATTGCCTACAGAGCCTCCGAATTGCTATCGCAGACGACAGTGGCCACTGGCGAGGCCGGGGCGTTTACTGATGGCATTAAGTTATGCCTGAGAGGGTGTGCGACTGTGGTGTCAGCTGCTTTTATGGGTTTGTGAGGGCAATTTCAAGTATCCTGTGCCCGACTGGTGTTTTGCCCCTCATGAGGGGTGGTGTATTAAAGTAGTCTGTGTGGCATTAGCCAAGGGATGGCATGTCCATGTAGAGCATCGAAACAGGCGTGACTGGGCTGAGGCCAACTAAGTGACGACAGATCATTTGCCTTCCAGTCAAGCGGTACAGAACTCCTCTGACCCTGTAACATTTTTAATGGAAGAGGGGCATTTGTCCCAGAATATGAAGCTGTCCCTCGATATTTCTGTCACAGTCTCTCTCTGGCCACTAGCACTTAACGTCGGTGGGACTCGCGAGGGAGAGTACCCGTCAGCGCCGACCTTCGGGGGTCTAATTGGAAGAACGCCATCACAATGGCGAGGACAGACACTTTCTAGCTTATTTGATTGCTGACCAATCTAGTTTGAAATGGAGCAGCCGACCTCAAGGGTAAGCTCAGTCGCCTGTCCGAGCCCTGCTACCTGTTAGGCAAACGGGTGAAGACGAATACTCGTCAGCGCCAACCTTTGAGTGTCGAAGTTGGAGACTGCTGCTATCATGACGAGGACAGGGCACTTCTGAGTTAATCCGTCTTTATCCGACTTAAGTAGCAGCCGAATAGCTGGCTTTGAGGACAAATGAAATCCCCCTGTCCGACCTCAGCTGAGGCCATCCACCTTATTGCTTCTGTTCGCCCATCTCCAGTCGTATGGAGTTAAAGAGAGGACAAACACTAGACCATTTGCCCGGGGAGAAATTCGATTTCACGTGTGCAGGCGTATTCAATGGATTTTGTCGTTCTTCCGCGTGCCTATGCTTTTCAGAGAACGTCAGATTCGGTGAATGCGGTAGCATGAGTACGGTGTACGAAGGAAGAAGCGTTTTTCTAATTTCTTTTCGGGATGATTTAATTACAGTCATGCAGCTGTACTGACGGGGTACTATGGGTGGGCAATCACATTGCCATGATGCATTCACCACAGACTTATGAATAGGTCTGGTTGACTCGACTGTTACAAGTGATGAGGTCCGTCGTGGGCTCCACTGAATGGGCGCAAAATCAGTGACTTGCGCGTCGACTCGTTCATAGCGAGACAGACTTGCTCAGCATCTAACGGACTCTCTCATCCCCCACCCGCCTTATCCTGACTGCGAGACAAAGTCAAGCCTATCGAAGGTGACTATGAGTTTAGTAGCTGACAAAGCCAACCAGTTCACTGTCAACTTCCATGGAAGTTGGTGCACGAACTTGGAGTAAATCCTTCGGAACAAAGCTCTTTAGGTTCGCTCCGAGAGTGGATATGAATAGTTGAGCTTTGATAATGGAGAACCGGCCCAGCTCTTCGAAACGTTAGCCGAACAAGTCTTTCGGTCCGGTGATAACCTCATTTTCCTCAGATTATCAACCCAGATCTCTTACTTTTGCAAACCTGAAATCTGTCAGTTACTGCGGCGTAACCGCATTATATTTACAAGCTACCAACGGGCAGTCTGTACCCCTACTGGCAGCACAGCAGAAGTTTACTCCATGACGCAACGACGAGGCATTTGGTTCATCGGGCGCCTCCCAGCGTTCTACGTGTGTTTTCTGGTAATATGAACTCCATTTCACATGCTGCCATTTTTTAGTTATCTCGGAAATTAATGCACGAAACTGGGCAGCGCGGAAACTGGGGGCGCTCGGGGGCCCAACAATGGATAAAAGCCCTCGCAACTGCGTCATTCAATTCGATGCAAATTCGACTATTAACGATCATTTTAAATGCGAGAGGCGACGCACCTCACGAGACTGGTGCATCATGAAAAATCGATAACCAAAAGAGAAGTTGGCTAGCATACATCTGCTTTCGATAAATCCTCGTCAGGCCAGCACATTATGGGAACCGGGTAGAAATAAAAACATGTCAGTGGTTGGAGAAATCGATAAAAGTTCGTTTTAAAACGGGGGCGGAATGT